TTTTGTACATAACTCAACCAAGTCCACACCGGTTGGCCGAGTTCCTTGTCTCTGCCACATACCTAGTACCTTCACCGAGTTGATTTTTGAAACACTACATAGATAGATAGATGGGGAGAGTGAGAGAGAGAGAGAGAGAGAGGAGAGAGAGCAAGGGAGGGAGAGATGGAGAGAGAGAGATTGCAAAAAAGTATAAAAAACATAAAATCATTAAAGCATACTAGAGCTTGAGATGTGTGTCTTTGTTGAGTGTGCCAAAGGTCTCCACTATAAATTAAATAAAGCACCAAGATGCAAGTGCTAGTTTTTCTACACACTAAATCTCTGAATATATACAACTAATGCAATGTTTAAAACTCATTCCAAGTAAATGTGGTAGAAGATTTCAAAATATCCATCAATATAGAAAACTACAAACCAAATTTGTTTGTAGTAAACAATCGTTAGATATTTAAAGTAACACAAGGGTGAGAGACATTTTCCTAGAAGAATATTCAAAATAATTATCCTTTATGAGGAATACAACTCGCCTAATGAAGTAAGGCAACAATTGCTAAAGGCACTAATGTGACTTCATGATGGAGGGAAAATTATACTTATTTTTAATTACTATTCTATTTCAAAGGATATACATTTTAAATTTATATTTTGATAAAATTTAGCATTAAAATTTAGGATTTTTAGTTTTTTAGGAATTCTATAGTTTTAAATTTTTTTTGTTTCATTAGTTCTATTCACAAGAGTATTGTTCATAGGTAATGTTCATAGGGGAAAAATTATCATTATAAAATTTAAGTTTGAGTTGGGCTATATTGGTCATTTAATCATTTTCTGAACATATAATGTCTATAAATATTGAATTATAATATATAAGAGGTGTGTGGGGCCTTGAGAAAGTCAATTCCACATGATTTTTAGAATTTGAAAGAGAGATATGCTTAGGCCTTTGGACACTAGCATGGATGTGGAGAAGAAACCCTAGGTTTCTTTGAATTATGCTTGTGCTTGGCTTTGTTGCTTACCGATTTTACTGTTCCCTCAAATTTTCGACATCAAATTGGTATCAAAGCCTACGACCTACATGGAATGTACTATAGCAATGTAGGGAGTTACTGCAGCACCTATTTTTTGGTGCCCCAGGTCAACAATAAAGCAGGGAAGTTATAGTGGGGATCTAGGGTTTGCTGATTCTGGCAAAATTTTTGTCAAAGCAACTTAAATCTTGCTGATTTGAGTAGTTTTTGTTCATTATTTGCTTAGGGTTTGAGATTTTGGCTAACCCATGGTAGCGAGAAGAGGTCGTAGAAGGGAGATTTTTGTAGATCCACTTTCTGATCCTATAGATGACAGAATTGAAGAACTTTAAAGGCAAGTACAAGAACTGGCACAGCAGTTCACAAGCCTTAGTAATGGGCAAGACGGTGATCTTTCAACCCAAGAGGATCTCAAGTATAAGTCTTTTCACTTTACGCACCACATGGGGAGTCGAGTGATGAGGATAGTGACAGAAGACCTAGATGTGAGCAACATCATTTTAGGATTTTTGATTTGGAGGATGAGATTCTTGATTTTGATATAGATCATATATAAAAATTAGCATAATGTAGATTGGGATTTGCCACCAATCTTCGATGCATATTTAGATGAAGAACAAGATCTTGTAGGAGATGTAATCTATGATGATGTTCAAGATATTGTAGTTGAATTGGCATTTAATGAGAAAAAAGATGAAGGAATTGATAGGTGAAGTAGTTAGTTTAATCGTTGATCTCAAAGATGCACCTGTGGCGTGTTCTAGAGCTGAGTCTTAGCAAATTCAGCAAGATTATATGGCTGAAGTTATGCAATTTCAACAAATTTATGTGATTAAAAATATTTTTCCAACATATAATGACCCTTTCCTCGAAGATTTCTCAGTTCTTACAATCGTTGTTTTTTTATTGGTGTAGTAACCTAAACGTCTCAGGATCATGTTCTCATGTTCAACTTGAATAATATTATTGGACTGATACCAATTTCATCTTGGCACACTTTAAAACTCGAGGACGAGTCTCCAACTAGGAGAGAATGACGGAGGGCAAAATTATACTTCTTTTAATTTCTATTCAATTTTAAAGGGTGTATATTTTTTATTTGATTTTTAAGATTTATATTTAGGATTTTGAATTTTTTAGGAATTTTAGGATTTTTATATTTTATTTATTTATTTCATGAATATTTTTTACAAATACTATCTATGCATTAGTATTGTTCATGGGAATTGTTCATAGGGGTAAAACTATCATTATAAATTTAAATTTAAATTAGGATATATAGGTCATTTTAATCATTGTAAGGATATGTAATGTCTTTAAATATTGAATTATAATATATAAGAGGAATTTTTAGAAATTTAATGAGAGAAAAGTTTAGGCTTTTGGACCCTAGCTTTAGTGTGGAGAAGAAACCCTAGGTTTCTTTCAATTATGTTCGTATTTGCTTTGTTGCTTGCTGATTTTACTATTCCTTAAAATATTGTGCACAAATTGGTATCCTGCAATCTACACGGAAAGTACTATAGCAATGTACGAAGTTACAACAACACCTATTTTTTAGTATCATTGGTCAATAACAAAGCGGGGAAGTTATAGTGGGGGTCTAGGGTTTGCTGATTTTGGCCAAATTTCTGCCAAAATAACCTAAGTCTTGTTGATGTTACCACTTTTTATTGATTATTTATGATTTTAGCAAACTACTAGCAGTGAGAAGGTGCCATAGAAGGGGGATTTTCGTAGGTCCACTCCATGATCCTATAGTTGATAAATTTGAGGAACTTGAAAGGCAAATACAATAGCTGGTGCAATAGTTTATGAGCCTCAGTAATGGGCAAGGCGGTGATCTTTCAGCCCAAGAGGATCTCAAGTATAAGCCTTTCCACTTTTGCGCTTCGTGTAGGGAGTCAAATGATGAGGATAGTGACAAAAAACCCAGATGTGGGGAACATCATTATAAGGTTTTCAATTTGGAGGATGAGATTCTTGATTTTGACATAGATAATATCGAAAATCAAGAAGATGTAGATTGGATCTGCCACCAATCATCGACGCATACTTAGATAAAAAACAAGATCTTGTAAGAGATCCAATCTACGATGATATTCAAGATTTTGTGATTGAATTGGTATTTGATGACGAAAAAGATGAAGGAATCAAAGGAGAATTGATAAGTGAAGTTGTTGGTTTAGTCGTTGATCGCAAGAATGAACCCATAGTGAGTTCTAGAGCTGAGTCTAAGCTAATTCAGCAAGGTGGTTACATGGCTGAAGTTTTGTAATTTCAACAAATTTAGTGATTAAAGACATTCTACAAATATACAATGACCTTTTCCTCGAGGGTTTCTCAGTTCTAATACATAATCGTTGTGTTTTGATTACTGCAATAACCCTCAAGTCTAAGGATCATGTTTACAATATTCGAGTTGAAGAATGTTGTCGGACTAGTGCCAATTTCATCTTAGCAAACTTCAAAACTCGAAGACGAGTTTTCTCCAATCAGGGGAGAATAATGGAGGGAAAAATTATACTTCTCTAAGGGTGTTTATAGTTTTTCTATTTATTTCATGAGAACTATTCATAGATATTGTTCACAGATACTGTTTATAAGGGTAAAACTATCATTACAAAATTATTTCAAAATTTAAATTTTAAGTTAGAATATATAGGTAATTTATATTGTATGGACATGTAATGTCTTTGAACATTGAATTATAATATATAAGAGGTGTGTGGGGCCTTAAGAGGGTCAATTCTCATGATTTTTAGAAATTGAAAGAGAGAAAAACTTACGATTTTGAATCCCTAGCTTGGGTGTGGAGAAGACACCCTAGGTTTCTTTAAATTATACTTGTGTTTGGCTTTGTTGCTTACTTAATTTATTGTTTCGTCAAATTTCCTGCATCACTTCACATGCCAATCCCTTCATAATGAAGTGTATATGACGTAGACGCATGAGTGCATAAATAAAAGATATATCATAGTTTAATTACAAAACGAGAAACAAATCTTTTATATGAATAAGAAATAAAATGGAAATTAATACAAATTGCTGCACAAAGATATAAAATCAAGTAATATTAGTACGAGAGAGGAAATGCCAAAAGGACAACACTGCAAATCTACATGTCAGTGGAACCATGCACCTCCAATGGTTGATGGAAGAGTCAAAATGCCAATGGGTAGAGTTCTTCACATCAAAGAAAAACTGTATTTCTTTATTAGAAGCTTTCCTAGCACTACATCAAATGGCTGAGTGATGTTGCACCAATCTGGGTTGTAGGGATTGATGATAAATAGTGTTCATGGTTGGGAATTTGCCTATCTTGTTAAGTTGAATAGTGGGAATGGACCCAAAAAACCTAAAGTTTGACTTGAGAAAGAACAAATCCAATTGGGCTGCTATCATTCTGCTCTGAGTTATAAAATTTTCAGGAAGAAAACAGGCTATGGAAGAGAGTATCGTGGAGGTAAATCTTCCATCTGGTTTCTATTGCATCTTCCCTAGTGGGAGCTTTCATTGGAGGATTGCAAAGGAATGTCGTTTCCTTTCAATAACATGTTTCTCCATTGAGTAGCACATCTCCATCGAGTAGAACATACTTTTCAGCCTATATGTGCTTGTTTACTGGTGTGGTACTTCAGTTTCTATTAGAAATTATAAAAACCCTGAATCAACATAAGAAATGAGATCCTCCATGAACCCAGTGTATTCCTCTGGGGAATTGTACTGGTTTCAGACATAGAGATCCAAAAGCCTCCTATAAAACTACACAACTATCGCATCAGATGAGTTCACATACCTACTAAGCAGTCAGTATTGCCAATCCATTCACCACATATCTATGGGATTCAGAATATGCCCTATAAGGACCTCTTCATTTAATTTCACACAACATACAACAAAACCAATGCAAGGGTCCTTCACCCTCAGTTAGAGAACTAGCAGGGATATCTTACCCTGATCCAATCCTCTTGATGTCTACTTCTAGACCTGGTGAATTACTTACCAATGTATGTTTATACACCTTTTTTTAGCAGCTTCCATGCTCATACAAGATTGACCACCTCATGAACGCACGGTCACTTGTCATCAAATACAGAACCAAGAAGGAACAAATGGCAATCCCCAATATCATGAAAAACTAAGGTCTCTTATCTATCACTAGATTCCAGTACGCTTCTTCTATGATTATACAAGAACCTTATTTCATTAGGAATAGCCCAACCACCTAACCTCATACCACATAATTGGTTTTAGTCCCTACATTCCCATACATTACCTTGGTAATCATATTTATAGGAATGTTTCTCCCTTAACCTAATGAAGATCTTAACATTGTTCTAGTTTCAGAAAAACAAATCAGCACATGCACCTACTGCCAAATATAGTTGCTGAAATTGCAGGAAATCAGTAAGATGCGGCACTCCCACTTAATTTCAACTGAACACTTATTTCATCAGGAATAACACCACCATGTAACTTCAAATCATATATTGGTTTTGGTCACTACATTCCTATACATCACAATGCGAATCATACTTCTAGGCGTGTTTCTCCCTTAACCCAATGAAGATCTTGACATTCTTCTAGCTTTCAGAAACAAGAATCAGCAAATACACCTAATGCCAAATCACTCAAGTAATCAACCTAATATAGTTGCTGAAATTGTAGGAAATTAGTAAGAAGCAGCATTCCAGTAATGTCTAATTTCAGTTGAATACTTATTTGTTCAACACATTAATAAATGTTGGATGCGCCCACATTAGACCATAAAGGTTGAGTTATTTTACGTTGAAGCTACAACAAACAAAATGTCCTTCAATTAATTTTACGCCAATTTCAAGTGATATTAGCACCTAGTATGCATAAATTTGGCAATGGTTGAACTGCTTTGGGTTAACCAATTATGAAGTCTTTGTCATTATTCTAATCATGTTCTGCTCAAGCTATCGAGAAGGCATATCACAATCCCATCATGAGAAACTCAGGTCACTTATGTGTCACAAGATTCTAGTTAGCCTCTATCTATGATTATCCAATAACCTTATAACACAATTACCGACCTTCAAATCACATAATTGGTTATGGTAACTAACTTCATATAGATTACCTTGCTAATAATATTTCTAGGAATGTCTCTCCCTTAACCTATTGAAGAAGATCCTGACATTCATCTGGCTTTCGGGAACCAGAATCAGCACATACACTTACCACCAAATGACTCACTTAAGTAAACGAACCTAATATAATTAGGGAAGTTGTAGGAAATTAGTAAGAAGCAGCACATGGAGTCATCTATAGAAGCTAGCACAAAAGAAATATCCTTCAACCGATCTTAAGCCAAGCTCATATTCCATTAGCACCAAGTTTGCATAAACTTACCAATGGTATAACTGCTTTGGGTTAACCAATTGTGAAATCTTTTTCATTATTCTGTTCATGCTCTATTCAATCTCCCCTCAGTTCAAAATCCTTGAAATCTCCAGATTCATACATTTCTCGCTTTTTAGGACTGAAAGAATAGGAAACGGGCCATAACCATTAAAAAATCTCGGAGCCCAAGCACACCCATTTAGTACTAGTAGGAACAGCTATTCTTTACAAAGTACCCTGAAAATTAAACTGTTCTCCTTTTAATAAGTGGCATAAAACTGGATGAGTTAGAAATGGACACAGTTTCTGACACCAAAACTGAATTAAATTGCAAGAGTTTTCCGAGCATCAAACCCAAAAGTTCTGGTTATTGCAGTGTTTTGATACTCGCCTTGGGTCAGGTAACCTAGGGAGTTACTCGGGGAAGTCCACGTGGACTCGCCAAATTACGGTAGCGGACCAAAAGCCCTTGAAAAATAAAAAAAAAATGCAGAAAAATATAAAAAATAAAATAAAAATAATAAAGGTAAAATAAAACCAAAAAGCAACATAAAAACTTGAAATAAGGTGAAAAAAGTATATAAAATACAGATTTAGAAAAAATGATGAAAAACTCAGGCACATGGCACAAAAAAAAAAAACTCACCAAATCCTTGCCAATGGCATCCAAATTATACATAAAAATTTGATAAATCATTTCCAATTATATATAAACATTTGATACATCATTTCCATATGCTTATATATATTTTTAGGAGTTTTCTGTTCTTAATATACCTCGAGTTGTATAGAGTATAGAGTATAGACTATAGAAAACCATATTAAGGGAAGAGAGAGAGAAAGTGTGTCTTGTGCAGAGAATGTCTTGACAGAGAATATCTTCTCAAGAAGATATCTTCATATTAAGAAAATAAAAACAGAATGTATTGTGCACAGAGAGAGAGAGAGAGGGGCTGATTTGCGAAGAAAAGAAGGGAGAGAAACAGAGGAATAACCTTATCAGCGATCTTGGGTTGATCGTTCATGGGCTTATTTTGCTGCATTTGAACATAGAGGAGCTCTGTTCCCCCTGCTTTTATGAAGTCCTCCTCATCTACAAATTCTTCTCCTTGTGGTTGCTCGTGAAGAGTAATTGTGCAATAAGAAATTTTCCTATTTGAACTCTCTCTCACTACATTATTGCTATTCAGATATATGGGCTTAGGCCATGGAGAACTGGGGAAGAAGATACAAAAATGCAAAGGCTTGGTCTTGAACATCCTTCCATGGAACCCAATAAATGTAGCACAAGTACCAGAACAACCCAAACCATTCATGGACTCCATTGAACAACTTACCCACAATCTCTCTCTCTGTGACAACTTGGGTTCTCTGCTAAACTTACAGCTTGGTTTTCCTTTATGTGCTCTCTGTTAAAGCCATCGTTCTCTCTCTCTCAAACTTCAAACCTCTCTCTCTTCTCTCTCTCGAAAACTTTGGTGTTTCTCTCTCTCACACACACTCTTTGTGTGGGTAGTTGAGTTGGGAGAAAAGCTGGCGTTGCTCTTCTTGTGAGCAGGGAGGAACTCAGCATCCCAAAAATCGCCACGTGGCATCATTTGATTTGTCGGATGTACCGGACTCTCCCTCGTGTTCCACAGCAATGGATAACATGACATTTTGGCGGTCGATGACGTTTCACATTTCACTCACTTTTATGGCAAGGAATGCAATGTTGTGGACGCTCGGGTCCAACTCCAACTTATCTAATATTATATCATATGAGCTCATGTATTACCCCCTCGGTAGCAAATTATACATTTACTCCTTAGGCCAAAACACCTAGTTAGAGATTTTTTCTTATTTTTGTTTGGAGTTTGAACGCATATCATTTCCTAAAAAAAATTGTATGCTTTCAGGAAAATCTTGGGATGCCATTCTTTTAGGTACATAGAAAGTGAGAGTTAAATTTCTTTTTATTTGATGTTGGTTGATGGGTTCTATGGATCATATCCCCAAAGTTTGGGCTCTAAAAGATAGCTTTTTAGTGTAAATTTTGCCCCAGGAAGTAGATAAATAGCATACTACCGCAGGTATATTAAATATATTGGCATATTATATATTTATGCATGCATGGCACCGTATGATAAAGTAGCCTTCGGTTACTTCTATTATTACTTTATTAAAATTGGTTGGTATGTAGCTAATTCATTAATATAATGAAAATGTTACAAGAAAACTAAGAAAACAAAGGAAAAAACACGAAGAAAAGAAAAAGGGAAAAGTTTGTAGAGAGCGCCCAGCCCAGGTTCCAAACAATCAAATTAGAGCCTATATCAAAAATTTCATTAGAAGAGATTATTTTGATGCTCAAATATCCTTAAATTGATCATCTCCCCATCAAGATACATATACATGAGAAAAAAAAATGGATCTCAAGTTTTGGAAATGGTGCATCTTGTAGCGTATTTTGGACCGTCAATTTTCAAGTTGTCATATATCTGTTCAATCTACACTATTTTTGAAGCTTTAAATTTTATAATTAAAGATGAAAATATATTTTAAGGCTATCACAAAAATTTCCAATAGTGAAATCACTTTTCTCGATACTATTTGAAAATAGGCTCCACTTTGATTGTTTAGATCCTCGGCTCTATACAAACTGCACTCAAAGGAAAAAAAAAGGAAAGTGAAGGCTAAAACAACCACGAACTAATCGAGGCAATATGCATCAATGTTAAAGCCCCTCTTACTATGAACAAAAGTGAACTCATGCGACTACAAAGCCAAAATTACAACATCCATTACTCCCATAAGATTTGACCGTAGAAGGTCGGACTTCATGCAACATTTGATTACGTTTACTGAATCACCTTCAATAATCACTTTGGAGTGATCCTGGTTAGGCACTCTACTCCCATTTTAAGAGCCCAAAGCTCTGCCTCATTAATGTCCCAAGAATGCAGTCTGCCTTGATATAACCAGATTGTTGTTCCTAAGCTATTACGCAGAAGTCTGCCAAACCCACTAACATCACCACGAATATTTCTGTCGAAGTTAAGCTTGAACCTGCCCACAACAGTTGAGACACCTATGAGGCCTCTTCAAGAAAATAAATTATCAGAACATCTATTGTGGGAAATGGTTATTGCAAGGCAACAACCTCAAATGATCATTTTCACTTAGGCATAGTTTGTTGATTGTCCATTTTTAATTGTTCATATTCTGGTATTTTTAAGACATTAAAAATATTTTTGTAAAAATATTTTCACATGAAAGAACTCTCTCATGTGATCAGATACAGGAGGTTTTTCACCCAATTGGTTCCTATACATTTTTCATACCAATTGGCGGTGAATTAGACACCAATTAAATAGAAAAGTTCTTTCATGTGAAAATACCTTCATAAAAATATTTTCATGCATGCCCTAAATTTTATAATCAAAGTGAGAAATAGATTTTTAGGTTTATCACAAGGATTTTTAACTCTCTACCAGCAATTTTTTTTACAATGTTGTTAAGGACACAACTTACAATCGTAAACAATAAATATAGTTGAATATTTTGAAAATGTTATTTATTTTATAGCAAGTTGTTTGTGCATATTTTTTACGTACTTACCCCAGAATAACAAAGGAAGCGGTAGTAACCATGACTTTCAGGCACCAAGTACGCCCGAAACGCCACGAAAACACGTGCAAAGAAATTTGAAGAGCCCTGCATGAGATATCATCTTGGCCCAATACTGCAGGAAATATCCCTGAAGTTTCAACCCAATTGGGCAAAGCCAAATGCTGATATAAGGAAAGTGTGATGGAGGAGTACTTTTCTACGTAGTGTATGGACAAACAACATAGTAAAACTCTTAAAAATTGATCTCAAATGGCCTTCAAACCATATGACAAATTCAGAAAGTCGAAATATCCCTAATACTGAATTTCAGTCTAAACGGAATTTTCTAGGTCCTACTTTTTAAAAATGGGTTGTTTCTACAATTATGGATTTCACACTTAAACAAGTTTTCAAATATGCAAAATCCTGCTATAGTTCTTAAAATATAAGCAAACTTTGGGCCTTTGAATCACTCAATCCACAAGTCAGATCAAGCTGAAATTTGGGTATGTTATACTCCTTGACGGCATAATCTTTTAACATAAGCCACGGATATGATTGACAACCGGATTGGAAAATTTCGTAAAGAGAAGTTCGCAAAAGGTCAAGCACATGTAAAATCAGTTTGCATCACCTCTCCGCGCTCCAACGACTATAACTCGATATCCGACAGTCAGATTAATCTCAAACATGGTGCATTTCTATTGTGACTCTATTATTGTAAATTTCACATAAGAAAAGTTACAATCAGGGTCTAGGAAGGTGCTCATCCAAGGCTCAAAATTGGACACAATTTTTGAAATAACAGAAATGTGGCTTTCCAACGACTTGCTAGAATCTCAACTTGGTCGACCGGAGGTCATTTCTCACCATTATGGATGCAAAAGGATCGTGTCGACATTCTCTTCCATCTACCAACAAAATAATCTCAATAAACTCGGATTTTCAGAGCAATCAATTGGAGAAGACAATCAAAGTTTACAAAAATCATGAAACCCAGAAGTATCAAGATCATCATCAAATCTCCATGGTTCTTTGCAAACCACATATCAAAACAATTGCATCGATATGACTCATGTTTTCCCAGTTTAGGTTGTTTGTTCTGGTGCCAAAAAATTCAAACCAAGACCTCATGCGATGTGAGTGGGAAGAGACCCTTTTGAGGGACGTATTTGTCAATTTTTAGTTTTGTGCATAGTCTTTTTGGTCATTTTTGCCTTTTTTTATCATTTTTTTGTTTACATGAATTTTTATTCTATTTTTGCAATTTTTCTTTTTATGTATTTCTTATAGACTTTGAGCAACTACCCTTGTTTGAAGGGGGAGCTCCGTATAAACCCCACTCATGTCAAATGAAAAGGGCTATGAAAAAAAGAGAGAGTAAAGAGCTCCTTTTTTTCTTCAGTATTAGCAAAACTCTACCGCTTTGAAAAGAGGAGAGAGAAACATTTTGCAAAAGAGGTCTACCCTTTGCCCCTAACCCTATGTTAACCACCCCTAGTTAGCCTAACCTAAGCCTTAACCCACCTTGGTTAAGTCTCTACACTTAACCAAAGGCTTCCTAAACTTTAACCCAACCACAACCAGCTATCCAACGCACATCTTATCCTTTTCCATACCATACCCTCTAGCCTAGACCATACCCCACACTGAACCATACACCCGACCGTAGTTCACGCCTATTATACTCCCCACCCCCACCATATCATACTCCTTATACTATTACTCCTACCCTACACTTTATCCTACTCCACACCTAACCTATTTAGTCTAGGTTAGCCCTCTTAAGGAGGCTCTTCCATATCGGCATCTGGGCGGGCTTGACTTGACGGACCCCGTGTGGACTGCTCTAGAGTATTTTAGCTACTCACCAAGCACCTTTTCTCGTCATCTATCCCTCCAAAGGGGAGGTACTGCTGGAATTTTATCGAGTTCTGATTGACCATCTCTCTAGCCACCAGTTTAGCCTACCCTTGAACCAAGCCAACCCATTATCCAACCCTAAGTGCTAGCCCATCCAAGACCCACATACCGCACTCACCAAGTAATTCGGACCAAACTCAAACCAAACCTGAACCTACCCAAACCAAACCCAAACCTACCCAAATCAAACCTGAACCTATCCAAAACAAACCCGCACCAAACATCAAACTGAGGAATACATAAGACACACCTAGTAATAGTGAACGCAATACTTAAGGGGAAATCAACGCAGCGAAGAGCGTGAGGCAGTTGAACTAAACTGCATCTGAGAGCGACATCAGAGTGTTTTCTATGCCGAGATCTAAGAGGGAAAAACACCCAGACCCGTCCGAATCCTAATTTACGTGGTACGTAATACCTCAAATTTAAATTTGTTGGCTGTCATCGTACAACACCGTACGCTTTATCTATGCATACACCACACAAGCACACGGTGCATGTTAGGGGCACAAGAGTGGGGCGAAGTGCGGGGTCGGTCAACCATAAGTGTATATTTTCCAATTCAACTTTTGATAAATAAAGGAAAATTATAGGTAGCTTATTTATTTCATTGCAAGTGTATACTCGTCTATTCGACTTTTGATAAATAAAGAAAAATTATAGATACCTCCTTGACCCCACTTCCTAGGCATGCCCCACCACTTCTTGCTTGCCCGCCCCAATATTATATAAATCATACTACTAGCCCCCAAATTTTTGCAACTACCCAAGTAAAAAACTAATCTCTTTTAGAATGAAAATACCCCCTTATAATATATTTCTCTCATACACTTGGTATTTTAAATAATGCTGGTTGGGCACATTTTGTGCAAGACCGACTTCAGTTTAAATCTGTTGTCCAGTACATATTATGTTGGACCGATTTTATTTTTGTTTATAGTGCAGATCGGGACTATCTTCGAATGCAAATCACTTAGATCTAAACCACAAACACGTATTTTTAAGA